GTACTGTGTCCGATTTGAGCTCAAGTTGGATGAGTTACGCGTAGTAAATCGTAGGTATTATAAGGCTAGTAAATGACGAATTTCCCTTGTTTATTGATGTCACACTCCTCCCTATTATCTACTCCTGATAGTATATAAACATTAGGGCTTTGATAGTAAATACAATTTGTGTTTATTTATCACTATACTATATATAGTACATAATACAACTAACATAAATAATTACAATATTCAACATTTTGCATTTGTAGCACGGGAGTGACAAAGGGCACATATCATCTTAGTCTACCACCCCAGATGTGGACTACAGTTGGCCATCGAGGAACAATCGGTTAGATTTATATATCCTTATCAGGGTGCAAAATTAACACAAATCCGGAGTCAAATACTCCCTGATTTACTGTCGGACTCCCTGATTTGACATATGCAGGAGCCGTGTGACTCCCTGAAAATTCTGCTATACTAACTAGTTCGTTCCAGAGCACGGCCTCACAGAATTGCCGTATTTTTTCAGCAAATCTTTAATTTTGAACTTCAGACTACTGACTCCCTCATTTTGCTGCGGACTCCCTCTTTGAGGGCAGGGGGTCCGTTGGACTCTCTTGTTCAAAAGTTAAATTCTACCCCTGCTTATTAACAGATCTATTTGTGAGCAGTCAATCTTGTCTTGTTAAACCGATTATGTCATGAAGTTGCTCAAAATTATGCTTGTAAAGTCCTTGTTTTCTTTCTTTGCATTTTATCACATCTTATATTACACACGTTTTGCACTTATAATCCATTTTGATATTTATTCAAAATCATTTCAGAATCCAAGTGGATGCATTTCATGAGAAGGATTCTTCCCAAGCACATATGCAACACCCTGAAGGAGATAAAGCCTACGTATGTGACGTATGTGAATACAAGTGTACTACGACCAATGATCTCCAGTCACACATGCGCACTCATACAGGAGAGAAGCCATATGCATGCAATATGTGTAAATACAGATGTACTACCTCTAGTAGTCTCAAGCAACACATGCGCACTCACACAGGAGAGAAGCCATATGTATGCGATATCTGTGGGTACATGAGCTCTGAACTAGGTAGTCTCTATAGACACATGCGCACTCATACAGGAGATAAGCCATATGCGTGCAATATGTGTAAATACAGATGTACTGAATCTAATAGTCTCAAGAAACACATGCACACTCATACAGGAGAGAAGCCATATGCATGCAATATGTGTAAATACAGATGTACTGAATCTAGTAGTCTCAAGAAACACATGCACACTCATACAGGAGAGAAGCCATATGCATGCAATATGTGTAAATACAGATGTACTAGCTCTAGTCATCTCAAGAGACACATGCGCACTCATACAGGAGAGAAGCCATATGTGTGCGATATCTGTGGGTACATGAGCTCTGAACTAAGTCATCTCCATACACACATGTACACTCATACAGGAGAGAAGCCATATGTGTGTGATATCTGTGGGCACATGAGCTCTTTACTAGGTAATCTCCGTACACACATGCGCACTCATACAGCAGAGAAGCCATATGTGTGCGATATCTGTGGGTACATGAGCTCTCAACTAAGTAATCTCCGTACACACATGCGCACTCATACAGGAGAGAAGCAGTAAGCATGTAATGCACATATATGCATACAGGTGCAGTTTCTCCAGTAGCCACAATAAACATATATATGCGCACTCACACAGGAGCAAAGCCCTATGTTTGCAATACATGTGAATTCAGGTGCACTGCATCTACTGGTCTCCAAGGACACATACACACTCACACGTGTGAAGGACAGAGAGGATCTTTGCGTGTACAGATGAGAAATGTCCAGACGGGCACAGCTTCAGTGACCAGGCTGATGCAGTTGCTGCAACAACCACATGTGTATGGCTTGGTGCCTCAGTGATTCCGCAGTAACACTAGTGTGCGAATCGTATGGCAGGCACGCACGCACACGCAGGTATGAACTCGTTTTGAATTGATGTTACAATTATTTCAGAGTGGAGAGATGGTTGGTTCACTCAGATTTCAAAATATTCATTCATATGTATTCCTTACTGACATCATCATTTCTTGTGTAAAACAATAGTCTCATGTGTATTCTATAATAGCTGTGACAGCAGAACAAATTTATGGTTCAAGTAGACCATTTTTAAGAATTTACGATAACTTCTGTATTCAGTAGTACCAAGTATTGATGCAGATGCTAACAATTAACCTATATAGTTTCTATTAACCTTAGTTACAATGTAGTGTGTTCACATGTATATTTATTATTCCATTATTAATAATTTCATTTATTATATATTTAAAACATCACCATCTATGGCATATGGCATATCTTTTATATTTTATTACACACCTTATGAATGAATTTCGACGTGTTGGATGAACACTAACAACGTTTTCATATCGTAAATATGGTACATTGTTAAGTTCATTTCTTTTAAATATATATAATAAAAGCTCATTTAATGTAGAAAAACGCGACTGCAAGCTAGTAATATCACACCAACCTTTCACACCATAACAGCTGTAGTTAAGTCAATCATCTCAATATGTTAGTGAACGTACCTACAAGTTATCGATGTCCAATATATTGCCATATGTCCATGAGTATGATACTTGGTTTTTCATTTCGTTTCATTCATCCCAGAGGTTTTATTTTCTTTGAAGCACACCTCACTAGTGACCCTCGTGATTTGACTTGGATTTTGAACACTGATCACACACACACACTTCAACAACACAATTATATTAAACCCGTATGTGTATCACATATACAAACAGGCCATCTTCAGTGATAAAATAGCATGATCAATGCACTTGCGAGAATCTGCGGCTAAAATGACAATCGGTGGGATTAAACAAACAAGGCTCATACACAGCCACACAGGTTAAACACCACTGCATACACACACACACACACACACACACACACACACACACACACACACACACACCCCGCATGCAAACATATATACATATTAAACTTCATACCAAAAATATAATATCGCCACATCAAAAAACAGCCCCCCGCCTCGCTCCTCTCTCTCTCTTTAATTATCAAATCTAGCAAGTCGCCTCCGTCTGACATCTTCCAGGTTAACATTAGGGTTCGTTACCTCTTCCCTCCATCCGTAACCGGTGTCTGGAGGATTTCCCTCGTAACCTCCTACGTTCCTGAGGTCCGGATAGAGGTTGGGAGACGAGAATTCCTCCGTGAGAGGAGCAGAGGGAACAGGTCTGTCAGTGCGGTGATGACCATGGCTCGACGACTCATAGTCTATAAGAGGGACGTCCTGGCTTTACAACATTAAACATCTCCAGGTGCCAAGAAAAATAGCAGATACAGTATACGACATGCCAATAGCATTCAGTATTGTTGCCTGGTAAAATAATGGTTACTATTAATTGATTTAGGGATAGGGGTAAAGGATAAGGATTAAGGTTGAATTGGTCAAAAATGCCATCAACTGTCTGTCATATGGGCATTCCATTGTATGTAAATTAGCTGATAGCGGCGCCATATATTCGGCGCCATAGATATATATTCGGCGGGAGAACCAGAGCGGGAGAAGCAGAGCGGGAGAGATACTCTTGAGAGTAACAGTTGTGAGCTGACGGCGTGATGACGTGCGGTCGTACCGTTGCTGGTTGTTCTAAATAAACTCATGCAGTTACTCTACGTTATACGAGAGAGACTTTGTCGTCATACATTACACACATTATTACAACTTGTACTGTCTGTTCGTGCAGTGGTATCCGACTGAGAACATTGGTTGCCGATGTAATCCGCTGGCCATCTCCAGTGTNTGAACTCGGCCCGCGCCGCTCCCTTGAGTCTTTTTTTTGCTGATCTCACCACACACCTGGTTGTTAGCTACATCCAGACATAGAGGGGCATACATAGTGCAGATTTCACGGCTTGTAGAATTGCATGAGCGGCTCGCCGTCCGGCTCGTGCAGCAACAGTGCACAAAACCTGCTAACCGCTCGACGTAGTACCGTACGGCAGCGATATTCGAGGCGTGGGGGGGGGGGGGGGTTGAATCCGAAAACGAGTGGGAAGTCGAAGCTGGGGGGCTTCAGAAGGTCAAAGGTCAAGAGTGTATAAAGAAGGGGAACATTCGCCTCGTCTAACTTAAGTCTAGGAGGAAGAATGCAGAAAATGCGGCCACAAATCTAAACGGCTCTCGACCTAGGCTCTGTGAATAGTCGGTGCGCCTATAAACATCATGGTCGGAAAAGCCATCACTGTGCTGAAATTGGAGACACAGTCAAAAGTTCAACAGTTCATGGGGCACAGGGCAGATTTTAGACATTCTCTTCTGAGGACGTGGTCTGACGGAGGCACTTGGAAAACTTGGTTTTGAAGACCACTGAAATGTGCTTTCCCAACTGACGTGGAAGAGTAATGTCTGATAACCTTTACCCTCAAGGAGGTTAAACATCGGCATTGTACTGTAACGCCCAAAGGGACTGCACTGCTTGCTAATTAGAACCCTCCCTTCAGCCCGCCCCCCGCCGCCCTTCCCCCCACCGCCCCCCACCCTCACTCACCTCCACCCTACCCGCACCACCACCCACTACGCTCTGCGCGCCGACACATCATCCAAGATAATGTTAATATAACCGCACTCATTAAATCTATACACAGCTATATCTTTATTACTGTACTACCGGTATAGCAAAGCCTATCAACGCGGTGGCGGGAGGGCGCACTTGATTCGGTTTCCAGTGAGTTTATCCGAAGAATAGCTGGCTACGGTACACGTCAGTTGAGCGCTGTCGCTCTGCGGCACTTGTCCAAATGTAGAGTTCTATCTATATAGGGTTCTAAGTTAAGAGGGTTTCTATTGATTTATTTCTTTATTGTCTACGTCGCTTCCTTTCCGTTTGTGCATAGTGGGATCAGGGGTAGACCATGACAAATAATTTGTCTTTATCTACCACTGGTGGGATACATAAAGTGAAAGTCTGTTGCAGAGAGCATTGGAACAGCATTTAAGTGGAATTATTCAGCAATAGATAGTATATAAACATTAGGGCTTTGATAGTAAATACAATTTGTGTTTATTTATCACTATCTCATACATAAATGGCCGGATCTGTCTGTCTGTCTGTCCGTCTATCTTCTCGAGACCCGTAAGAGGTGACCCCGAACGCCATATATATTCTGAATCAGCATGACGCGACGACCATTTTAAGCCAAAAAAAAATTGTAAAAAAAGGAAAAAATAAGGGGAAAAAGAGAGAAAGCGAGGGGGTGAGGGGGTGAGGGAGGGGGGGCACCACCGTCCAGTGACATTTTATGCATTGGATTGAATTCATTTTATTTATTCCATGCCCTTCTCGGGCCATGGAAGAAATACATAATTACATAATAAACATAGGAATCATGTATGACAACATTTGACAAACAATTAAATAAACGGTAAGATTTAATAAATAGCTATAGCACCCGGGGTTACATGACAACATAGATACTTTACGTACATCTTGGAACGAGTTTGGAGTGCGCATATTCAGGTTGTCAAGTGAGCATCCATAAATTGCTTAGTGGCAGACATGTAAACGAACATCGGTCAAATTAATTTGGCAAGTTATGCTACTGTGTTTATTCACAATCGTTAATATTATCTGTATCAGCGTTATGTACAAAGTGTAGCACGACATTACGTTTATTGACGCTGGGAATTTTAGTTATTTAGCATGTTAGGCTATTGAAATGTGTTCATTCACATTCCATTCGCTAAAAAGTAATAGTATTAGTAATATTAATATTATCAAGAGTAGATAATACACAAGAGTTACACACACGATTGCCACATTTTTAACAGATTTTTCTCATCAAAATTTGCCACCAATAAAGAAGCAAGTGTATACGTTCCTTAGCTTGTTATGACCACTAATCACTCACCTTCGTGGTACTGATATTCGTTTACATATATTTGCTA